CCAGAGTGTCTTGGCTTTCCATGCCTGAAATACTCTTTGGGCTTTTCAGCCAGATCGGAATGCCTTTAGGGCTGATTCTGAGGCCAGAGTGCTGTTTAGGACATCTGCCATTCTATGAGTCTGCTGAGTATCTCGCTTCCCATGTTGGATCACTCTCCCCTTTATTTATTCTATCGGTTAGTATTAGCAGGTACTAGACTTGTTTATGTGCTCCCTTTGACTCTTAGTCCTTTCATTATGATCAATTGTGAACTGAAATTGATCACTGGGACTAGTGAGATGGCATTGGTACATGCCACCTTGATGGGATTAAATTGGAGTCCCCTGATATGTTTCCACCTCTACCATTTGGGGCAAGTCAGCTTGAGCATGTCCCAAATTATACATCTCTTCCCTCTCTTATCCCCACTCTTATGTTTAACAGGGATCACATTTCAGTTAAATTTCAACACTTAAGAATAACTGTGTATTAATTACAGAATTAAACCAGTCATATTAAGTAGAACAGACAAAAAAAAAAAACTACCAAGAGGGATAATGTATTAAGTTGTTCATTAACAGTCAGGGCTATGCTGAATAAGTCACCGTTTCTCATAGTGTCGATTTCACTTCAACAGGTTTCCTTTTTGGTGTTCAGTCAGTTGTCACCGATCAGGGAGAACATATGGTATTTGTCCCTTTGGGACTGGCTTATTTCACTCAGCATGATGTATTCCAGATTCCTCCATTTTGTTGCAAATGACTGGATTTCATTGTTTCTTACTGCGGTATAGTATTCTAAAGAGTACATATCCCATAATTTCTTTATTGCAGAGGTAAGTAAGGCAGCAATGGATCAGGCAAAGTAAGTTTGCTGCCCCCTAAAGCCCCAGATAGTAACTTTTAGATGTTGGTGACTTGTTCCACCCTACAATCAGGTTACATAGCTAGTTGGCCATTCTGTGCAACAAGAGGACCAGTGTACTCACAAAGGAGCAGATGGCAACACTGCCATCCTAAGTTACACTAGAGGCTTTCATTTGACCGCCTTCCAAGTAGCAGGAACCATGAGAGGAAGCAGACTGTGGCCTTCTCCTTGCTTGTAGATTGGACTGGCATGAAGAAACTAGGAAAATATACAGACAAGCTCAGCCAAGGCCTAAGTGGACTGCCGAACATTGGTAGAAGCAAAAATGTGAGGAAGAGCAGATTAGGCTAAGGCCGGAGTGACAAAGCCTCAGGTGAACACAGGAGGGTCCAGGGGGAGGAAGAGGCAGATGACAGACAGTAGCTCCTGTCCTAGGTGGTTTTCCTGGATTAATACTGGAGACAATGTGGCCTCTAATCACAAAGACTCAGTTGTAGCCCATAAACTTCCTCTAGCAGTTCAAGGGCTGGAATATCGGTGATCTTACAAGAGGCAGCCCTTAGAGTATCATGAGTCTCAAATTGGCCAGATTTTGAGGGAAAATATAATCTCATTTTGAAGGATAGACTTCTTCCCAAAGGGAAAGAAAAAACTCTGTTATTGTACATCATGATAATTCAAACTGTAACTTTGTTCTCATTTAAATTAAAAGACAAACTATAACACTTTGACATTTGTATTATACACACCTCAGGCTCAGTGCATTGGGAACATTTTATAGGAAGTTAACATTAGGGTTTTCAAGTATTTTCCTAGTTGCTGGGTATTAGAAATTTTAGCTATATGTGAAAATTTCAACAGTTTTTGCTGTCTTTTTTTTTTTGACAGGCAGAGTGGACAGTGAGAGAGAGACAGAGAGAAAGGTCTTCCTTTTGCTGTTGGTTCACCCTCCAATGGCCGCCGCGGCCGGCGCGCTGCGGCCGGTGCACTGCGCTGATCCGATGGCAGGAGCCAGGTACTTATCCTGGTCTCCCATGGGGTGCAGGGTCCAAGTACTTGGGCCATCCTCCACTGCACTCCAGGGCCACAGCAGAGAGATGGCCTGGAAGTTTTTAAAACAGGAATGGTTTAGACAAGAATGAAAGCTCCTAAATTTTTAAATCTAATGCTAGTTTGACTTTTCTGCTTCACTTATGGGATAAAGAAGAAACTGGTATCTGTAACTTCAGAATGAGGGGAAGAATGTCTCATCAGAGGAAAATGTTGCTCATTTAAATACAGATATATTTTGTCTTTGAATCTTGACTTTGTTTCACTTCTTTGTTCTTGGTAAAAGGGCCAAGAACCCACCAATAGATATGAGGTACATAGAGACAGAAACCCCTGGGGCATGTTACAGTAGGATTACCTCCATCTTCACTCATGGTGGCCCATATACAGAAATGCAGAACAGGTGCAGAGCATTGATATTCTGCCTTGCCATCAAAAGTAATATGTTTGTAAATGCTACATATAATCTTGGTTGCATCACCTAAGGTACTAATGAAATACTGCACATAGTTTCTATGTTGAGAAGGAAGAGGTCCATTTTTATTTCATACGTGTGCATACATATTTGCACACATATGCCAGAGTCATTTCTCTAATGGAATTCACAGTAAAATATGCTCACTAGGAGCATATCTGATACCAAGGTTTGCTCACCCAGCAGTGTGGTAGGTAGTACCCAGAAGAATGATTGGATATTTCTGAATGGCCAGTGTAGTTAGTTCATGTGTGTGCATTTGAGGCCCAGTGATACCATTTTTTTTTGACAGGCAGAGTGGACAGTGAGAGAGAGAGAGAGACAGAAAGGTCTTCCTTTTGCCTTTGGTTCACCCTCCAATGGCCGCTGTGGCTGGCGTGCTGTGGCCAGCGCACCGTGCTGATCCAATGGCAGGAGCCAGGTACTTATCCTGGTCTCCCATGGGGTGCAGGGCCCAAGCACTTGGGCCATCCTCCACTGCACTCCCTGGCCACAGCAGAGAGCTGGCCTGGAAGAGGGGCAACCGGGACAGAATCCAGCACCCTGACCGGGACTAGAACCCGGTGTGCCGGCACCGCAAGGTGAAGGATTAGCCTAGTGAGCCGCAGCACCGGCCAGTGATATAATTTAAACAATGCTTTAAACAAAGATACTGGAAGATTGTTCTTGGTATTCAGTTGTTAACTTGAAAAATGTGCCCATGAGAATTACACTGCAGTTTGTCATCATGGGCATTTCAGCTGTGAGGACAGCAAAAATATGGGCTTATTGATTTGCACAGAAACATCTCACTTGATGATCTAGTGTAAATTTTACAATATATTGAACCTTTAAGTTTCATCACCAGGTTGTTATCTCTAAAATGACCTTTGTGCTCCTACAGGTCTGTTTCTATAAACAGAGGAACCACATATCTTAATATTTTCACTTCCTTACAACTTCACCAAGAAGGAGACAGCAGGCACTTTGCATGTCCCATTGGTCTCCAAAGTATGTACTGGCAGTCTTCCCTTTCCAAGTAGTGCAGACACAGAGGGAGAGGCAGCGAGGTCTAACATCTGCTGGTTCACTCTCCAAATGGCCCCAACAGCCACAGCTGTGCCAGTCTGAAGCCAGGAGCCAGAAATTTCTTCTGAGTCTCTCATGTGGGTGCAGGACCCCAAGCACTTGAGCCATCTCCACTGCATTCCCAAGCCATCATCAGAGGGCTGGGTCAGAAGTGGAGTAGCCAGGACTCAAACCAGCAGCCATATAGGTTGCTGGCACTATAGGCAGAGGCTTAACATACTATGCCACAGCTCCAGCCCCTGATGAGTTATTTTTTAGAAACAGCTTTATATAGTGATTAGAACTGCAGTATCAACTTGGGCAAATATTACAGGTATCCTTAAAAAGTAGAGTTTAAATAAGCACATCACTTATGTATGTCTTTTACATGATCTGTACCTACTGATTAGTATGCTTGTGTTTCTGGGGTCTTTTCCAACAAGTCTTCCCTATATCAATGTCTTGAGATTTTCTCCAGTGTTCTCCTCTTAATTTGATGGCATCAGGGCATAGATTGAGATCTTTGATGCTTTTTTGAGTTGATTTTTGTGCAAGGTGTAAGGTAGAGTATAAAAGGTTCTATAGTTATTCATTAGGTCCATTTGGTCTGTTGTGTCAATTAACTCTGCTGTATCCTTGTTGATTTTCTGTCTAGTTCATCTTCCATTGCTGAAAGTGGGGGTATGGAGGTTCCCTGTTATTATTGGATTCTATGTCTCCCTTTAGATCCACTAACATTTCTTTCAAATAACCAGGTGCTCTGTAATTGGTTGCATATACATTTATTATAGTTACCTCTTCCTGTTGAAATGATCCCTTAATCATTACATAGTGCCCTTCTTTGTTTCTTTGAACAGTTTTTGTGTTAAAGTCTATTTTGTCTGATATTAGGATGGTTACACCGGCCCTGTTTTGTTATTCATTCACATAGATTTTTTCCATCCTTTCACTTTTAGTCTATGTATATTTATTGGTGAGGTGTCTTTTATGAGCAGCAAATAGATGAGCCTTGTATTTTAATCCATTCAGCCAGTGTGTATCTTTTAATTGGGGATTGATTAAATGTCAGGCATTTACATTCAAGGTTACTATTAAGATTTGAGAACTGCCCTGCCATTTTTCTGTAAATATTGCTATTGTTTGCTTTGGATTTTCTTTGTGCTTTTCCTGGAAGATTTTCTGCCTTCACATTTGTTCATGATGATGGCTGTCTTCCTGTGTTTCTGTTTGTGGCACATCCTTAAGCATCATTTTGTAAGGCTGGAATAATGGTGACAAATTCTTTCAATTTCTGTTTTTTATGGAAGGCCTTTATTTTATCCTGATTCTTAAATGGGAGCTTTACAGTGTACAGTATTCTGGGTTGACAAGTTTTTATTCTTTAAGACTTGGATTGTGTCTCTCCATTCTCTCCTAGCCAGTAGGGTTTCTGATGAGATGTCAGTTGTGAGTCTCATTGGAGATCCTCTGAAAGTAATCTGAGATTTCTTTCTTGCACATTTTGGGATCTTTCCTTTAGGTTTTACTCTTGAAAGTTTTACTACAGTGTGTTGTGGTGAAAATCTTTTCTAGTCATGTCTAATAGGAGTAGTATGTGCTTCGTATACTTGGACATCTCTTTCTTTCTCCAAATTGGGAAAGTTTTCTGTAATTACTTCACCGAATAAGCCTTTTAATCCATTCTCTCTTTCCACACCCTCAGGATCTTCTAAGATTTGTATGTTGGGTCATTTGATGATATCCCATCATTCTCCAAGACTTTTTGTTTTTCTAATTTCTTTTGTCTCTTTTGTCAGTCTGAGAAATTTCCAATTATTTGTCTTCTAGCTTGGATAGTCTTTGCCTCACCAAGTCTGTTGATCAGGCTATACACTGTATTTTTTTATTTGACACATTGACTTCTTCATTTCTAATATTTCAGTTTGATCTCTCTTCAAAATCTCAATATCATGGGAGATTTTTTTCTTCTGTGTCATGTATGGATTCCTTTAACTCATGAGTTTGCTTCTCATTGCTTCTGATTAATTCTGTGATTAATCTTTTGAATTTAATTGTCAGGCATCTCATGAGTCTCTTTGTCTTCACGTTCTAATATTGAAGTGCTGTTGTGTTCCTTTGGGGGAATCAAGTTGTGTTTATTCTTGTTCCTTGAGTTCCTGCATATGTTTTGAGGCACCTGTGGAATTACACAGTTTTCTCTTCTGATGGATTTTGTCTTTAAACAATGCCTCTGTGGCCTAGTTGAGTGTCTGGTCCTTCAGTAAATACCTAGTGGCATATTTTGGGTGGGGTTAGAAAACTCTCAGTGCACAAAGGATGGCAAGAGTTCAGTGGAGTGCAGTAGATCTCATCTTTTCAGCAGGAAGGAGGGTATGATCACCCCTGTTGGCGTAATCATATCCTCACCTCCTCTCTTCCAAGGTGGTCATGCCCCGGGATAGCCCAGTGGGTGCAATACTCGCCTGCATGGCCACATGAACTACATAAAGGATCTGTGCAGTCCTCATGTGAACACGAACCCCACTCCCAGTCAGGGAGCTCTGAGCCCTTGGCACCAAACTCAGTGATTGCCCAGAGACCCAGTTATAGTCTGTGCCCTATAACATGTAGTCACATGTCTCCCACACAGTCTCTGCACACAAGTCTCCCATGATCACGGGTGCAGAGGGTCCACTCCACCCTGCTAGCCTGTCCTGTGCATGGAGTGGAAGGGATACTCCCAGAGCCAGCAGCCTGTGGGTGCTCCAGCTTGGCACTTCGAGCCCTGACCTGTAGGTTGAGAGTCTGGGGACACCTCACAGTCCCACGTGAGTTCGCAGCCCCCTATCTGTCCTCCCAGCTAGACTGAAAGTCAATGCAAATATGGATTTTTCCATCAGGTAAAATCCCTGGATCACATGTATGTACAAGAGCCAACACAGCCATTACTCCTTTGAAAATGGCATCTTCTCCCTGCGTGTTGCTTGGCACACACAAGAACCACAACAGCCACAGCTGATTTCAGAATAGTGGCTTATCCCCATCCATTGCTGGGTGAGTGCACCCAAGCTGCCACAGCCACTACTTCTGTCAACATGGTGCCCACACCCAAGCTGGTTGCAGGCGCCACTGTTGGGGTTGTGGGGAGAGAAATGCACCCATTGTTGCTGTGTTAGGTGGGCACACTGTCCCTCTTTGAGCTCCAAGCCACATTCACACCAGGCTGTCCCTCCAGTTGTATCGCCTATGGTACAGGTTCCCGCAGTCTGCTCTCATCCCACTCTGCAAAGCTATGACTTCCTCCAGCTCTTAGCAGCAGGAGTTGTGTGTTGGGTGCATCTGCACCTTCCACATGGATCCATGGCATGCCTCTTCCTTCTGTAGAATTTCCCCTGCAGATTTCTCTCCAACTCTTCTCCTGGGAATGCCCTTTCTCCACTTTTTTGCTATTGTTTTCTCCTAGCCTAAAGCAGTATGTCCTTTCCCTATTCCACCATCTTAAAGATCTCAAATAATTGAGTAATTTTTTTTAGAAAAACCACGATGAGAGTTCATGTTATTCCAATTGGAATGATTATTATCAAAACCACAATAAGCATGGGAATAGCAGAGGAGGAGGAAGGGTGGGGTGCAGGTGGGAAGGATCACTGTTTCCCAATTTGTGTATATGAAATGCATGTAGTGTGTATACTTCAGTCCTTCTGGTCACGGGAGCTGCCTGGCTCATGCTGGATGGGGGATGTCTCCTTGCTGGCACCTGACAGTGTGGCTCTGGTGTCCAGGAGGACAAGGGTGACCCAGCCCCTGATCTGAGGTCCCCTTTCATGCCACAAAGCTTGTCCCTGAGGAGCTCCATCAGCAAGATCATCTTGGAGACAGGCAGCGAGACCCTGGGGGATGAGTGGCAGTCTGTCTCAGTCAGAGATCACCTCTACTTGCTACTCCATCATGGAGTCACTGTCCAGGAGGGACAGCCCATCCCAGAGAGTAGAGACCTCAAGGGAACCTAAAGGTCGATGCTGGGCAAGAGCCTGGGAGGCTGTCAGAGAAGACGCTGCACCTGTCCATGCTCAGGAAGCAGCAGGAGAACCTACAGAAGAAGGCTGACAGGGCTGCCCTGGAGGAGGAGGTGCAGAGACAGAGGCACCACCATCAGAGGCTGCAGGCTGAGTCAGAGAGCACAGCAACTGCCTGCTCCTGGCCGCCAAGCAGCCAGGCTCCCCCATGACCAAGTGGCCGGAGGCAGCCATGGACCTGCATGGGCCTCGCCAGCCCTGGGCCCTCCTCAGGAATCACTCTCTGTGCTGAACTGCATCTCAGCAGCGCTCCCACTCCCTGGCCTCTTGTTTGGTGGCAAAGTTGCTGCACTCATCCCAGTTTGTAAATATTCTGTGTAGAAGAGGGAACTTCAGGGAGTAAAGGAAGCCACTGCCAAACACACACACACACACACACACACCACCACCACCACCACCACCACCACCAGAGGTCAACCAACATGGGGTTACCCATCTCGGGTAGTGGACTCAACAGTGCACACACACTCAGGTGCGTGTGCCAAGTATGCCTAGAAACTAATGTGTACCTTCCTACCACTTATGGCACTAGGTTTCTGGGCCCCAAGAAGAGGAAATACAGAGACACTAGGGCTGCAAATTATGCTGCAGAAAAGTTGTGCTCTGAGCATTTCAGGCATGGGAAGCCAAGACACTGTGGCAAAAAATGAGATACATGAAGGATCCCTGTGAGGGAGATCCCAGTGGAAAGAAGGGGCCATCAAAGAAGGAGGTACCTTTCCCTGATGGGAGGAGAGAACTTCCACTTTGATTATGGCCTTGTCTAACTAAGGTCAGACTTTGAGAACTCAAGAGGTTTCCATTGCCTTGGCAGCTCATGACAAGAGCCTCAGGTGATCACTGACATCATAAATAAGAGTGCCAAATGTTCATTCAAAAGCAGGAGTCCCTGTGCACTTACTCCCCATGAAGGACCTCTGTCCTTAATGAGTTGTGCTATGAGAATTAACTGTAAATGTAATTCAAACAGGTCTTTATACTTTGTGTGTCTGTGTGGATGCAAACTGTTGAAATCTTTACTTAGTATAGAATTGATCTGGTGTCTCAGCTACCACCTGACTCTGCTGGCTTTCATAGACTTGTCTTTTCCAATCTTAGAAGTTTGGTGTCTTCTGCTTTTGAAATGCTTTGGCTCAGCTTCCACAACAGACCTGAGTGTGAAGGATCGAATTGCAGCCAAGCCAGGTAGGGATTCCTTCATTGATTTTGTAATCTATAGGCTATTGCTGTCCCCCCGGCTGGGATATATACAGCTTTCCTTTCTAATCTCTAGCATGTGCTTCTCCCTTGAACTTGCCTTTGTCTCCCCCTGCTCTGTGACAGTGAATGCCACATTTCTTGGCTCTGCCATGTGGCAGGGGAAAAAGGAGGTGGAAGTGCTGCTCATGGCTTAGCTGAAAGTTCCAGCAGGGCCTGACTCCTCTCCCCCAATAGCCAGATACCCTGAGCTTGCCCTTGTGCTTGACCTCCAGTCAGTAGGCCAAGGCCACGGACAAGGCCTTTTCTGGTATGTCCTGTACCATTAAACTATGACTCTTTACTAAACCCTGCAGCAAATCAAACCTGTTGATATCCCTCTTGAAAACCACTGGAATGGTTTGCACAATGCTACTGACTTAGCACAGAACCTGAGAGGGTGGTTATTCAGTGGGACTTTCTTTTCTTTTGTTCAGACCTGGGGAGTTCAAAAAGTATAGTTGAAGGAATACAATGACATTTGTTGTGCTAGATTCATAAGCAATAAATACACATTTTTGTTGGCCCATGGGGCATAGCTGTAGTCCATTCATGTGTGTGTGTGCATATACATATATGTATGTTTATTGGAGATTTACTTTTTTTAAACTTAGGTACATTGATACAACATGGCTGCCCTGGACATGATCTATTGCATTCAAGTTGCTTGAACACATCAGAAGTCCCATTGTTAAGGTTGATTGATTGAAATTTATATGTTACCATGAATAAAAATTGTTTTTATGTTGAACATCATGGGCCTGATTTGGTAAATTGCTCAGTTTTGTAGCTGTGCAGGGCAGCATGTGAGCAGGAGTCATTCATCATCATACACAAACACACTTTGTTATATTTGGGCATAACCACCGGCTTTCCTCTTTTAAGAAAATGGCCAGAGCTGGAGCAAGCCACAGCCAGGCACTCAAAACTCATCCCAGGTCTCCATGTGTTTGCCAACTACATAACCAGTTGGTGCTGAGTATGTGCTACAGTCTTCATTAAGGTTATATAAAAGTAATACTATCAACTGAAGCATTAGCAGTAGCCATAGCACAGAGAACAAAGTGATTGCTGTGTGTAGAGTGTTGGGAAAGTGTTCCCTCCCAGAGCCTCGCCATGGACTGTGCTGTGGGAACAGGTTTCCTCTGGGTAAGCTGTCCACATAGTACCAGACTCAAATGTGACCCAGGGAAGAGGAAGCCTCCCTCCCATCCTGCCCTGACTCACCCAATGGCATTCTTAGAAGGATCTGTTTCACCTGCTTGTGATTTCTCTTCTAGAATGTGTGTAAATAAACTTGAAAAACCCACAAGCAGATAAGGCCCACAATAACAGGGTATATTTATTTGTTTTCTTTTAAAGGTTTATTTATTTATTTGAAAGTCAGAGTTACACAGAAAGAGAAGGAGAAGCAGAGAGAGAGAGGCCTTTCATCCACTGGTTCACTCCCCAGTTGGCCACAATAGCCAGAGCTGAGCCAATCCAAAGCCAGGAGCCATGAACTTCTTCCAGGCCTGCTTTGTGGATCCAGGGGCCCAAGGATTTGGGCCATCTTCTGTTACTTTCCAGGCCATAGCAGAGAGCCGGATCAGAAGTGGAGCAACCAGGACTTGAACCGGCACGCATATGGGATGCTGGCACTGCAGGCAGCAGCCTTACCTGCTAAGCCACAGCACACACCCCCCCTTTAGATCTTCACCAACACAGTGGCCAAATTGTTTGATCTCTGCTTCTCCAATACATAAAAAATAGTGTGTCCTTGTAGTTTAAATGTGCATCCCTCTTACTGTGAATGTGGTCATTTGTGATATTTGTAGTTCTGAATTGAATTTTCTTGATATTTTCTGATGAGGCTCTATTCCCTTTATTTTTTCAGGTAATGTATAATTTTGTTTTTCTTTATTTTCTTATCATGTTTATGTTCTAGTGCTTTATTCCCCAAAGCTGTAATTTTAAGAAGGAATATATCGCGTGTGTAATGGATCCCTGTAAAGGATATTTTGCCCCTTCCCTAATCCTTCCCCTCTCCCCCCCACCCCATTTCTCCCTTTAGTGAGACCCTTGGTGTTAAACCAGACCCTTCCAGACTCCTTGCAAAGCACCTGGCAAACAGATAAGCTGCACGGGGCAGCTAGTGAAACAGATAAGAGAAAGTTCCCAGAGGCTTCAAAGAGCGCCCAACTCTTCTGCAGTTTGCCTTCTACCTCCACTCCCTCAACCCCATAGTGGCGAACTCCCACTTTTTTTTTAAGATTTATTTATTTATTACTTGAGAGTCATAGTTACACATAGAGAGGAGAGGCAGAGAGAGAGATGTCCTCCATCCAATGGTTCACTCCCCAATTGGCCACAATGGCCGGAACTGTGCTGATCCAAAGCCAGGAGCTTCTTCTGGGTCTCCCATGTGGGCTTAGGGGCCTATGGACTTGGGCCATCCTCTACTGCTATCCCAGGCCACAGCAGAGCGCTGGATCGAAAGTGGAGCAGCCAGGACTAGAACCAGCACCCATAGGGAATTCCAGCGCTCAGGCCAGGGCATCAATCCGCTGCACCACAGCGCCAGCCCAAGGCAAATGCTTGGGTGGTTGCCACTCTTGTGGGAGGCCTGGATAGAGCTCCCAGTTCCTGGGTTCTCCCTGGCCCAGATCCAGCTGTTGCAGGCATTTGGAGGAGAGAACCAGTGTACAGAAGATCCTTCTCTCTGTCTCTGTGTCTTTCAAGTAAAATAAAAATAAACTTAGGAAAAAATTTCATGTTCCAACTCTAGCCTCAAATTTTATGTTTGCGATGTTTCAATATGACATCAAAATGCTTCTTAAAAGAAGGTACACTCGGCCGGCGCCGCGGCTCACTAGGCTAATCCTCCACCTAGCGGCGCCGGCACACCGGGTTCTAGTCCCGGTTGGGGCGCCGGATTCTGTCCTGGTTGCCCCTCTTCCAGGCCAGCTCTCTGCTGTGGCCAGGGAGTGCAGTGGAGGATGGCCCAGGTGCTTGGGCCCTGCACCCCATGGGAGACCAGGAAAAGCACCTGGCTCCTGGCTCCTGCCATCGGATCAGCGCGGTGCACCGGCCACAGCGCGCCGACCGCGGCGGCCATTGGAGGGTGAACCAACGGCAAAGGAAGACCTTTCTCTCTCTCTCTCTCTCTCTCTCTCTCTCTCTCTCTCTCTCTCTTTCTCTCACTGTCCACTCTGCCTATCAAAAAAAAAAAAAAGGTACACTCTTCACCTTGTCTGAGGCTGTGTTCACAATATACTAGCTTGGCAGGACATGTGGGGGCAGGTTAGGAGCTCACTGGGAAGACAGGGTGTAGGCAGAGCTGGGCAGGTGCAGGCTCCAGCAAAGCCAGACACCAAAAGCACTTGACATCTAATATTTCATAAAATAGAACAAAACTGGATTTCCTTACACTTAACTCTGAGCTTTAAACAGGAATGGTGGGCATACCCCGACGTCCTCAAGGCCTCTAAAGGCCTCCATCTGGGCCTGGCTGAATGGTCACTTACCCTTCATCTAGGGCACTCTGACCCTTTGCTCCGTGTCAAACACACTGAGTACCAGGCACAGAGAGATGCATTAGATTTAGCAGTGTGCCAAGAAACTCAGTCCAGTGAGAGCTGTTCGTTTCAAGATTTTCTTTTTTAAGAGGAAGAGAACTTTTCTGTCAACACTTACACGGCCAGCTGAATGAGATAATTTTCTTTATATCCACGTGAAGCAAGAATCCCCTAAACTTTTTGTGGTCAGTGGCAGGTTACTGTTCTAAGTTCCCTCCTCCCTCATGCAAACCTGCTCTAAATCCCAAATCATTCTCCAGAATTCTTCTGCAAACAATGGATTTGTAGCAGACAATATGGGTTTATTAAATGGTTTTGTGTGTGTGTGTGTGTGTGTGTGTTTAAGATTTACTCATTTGGGCCGGCGCCGCAGCTCACTAGGCTAATCCTCCGCCTAGCGGCACCGGCACACCGGGTTCTAGTCCCGGTTGGGGCGCCGGATTCTGTCCTGGTTGCCCCTCTTCCAGGCCAGCTCTCTGCTGTGGCCAGGGAGTGCAGTGCCTCAGCGTAACTCCACCAGCGGGTGCCAAAGCTCCCCAACACAGCTAGGGGGCAGAGAGATGCAGCCTGGGAGTTGTTGGGGCTCCCTACAGGGGTGCTGAAGAATGTGGGTTTCACACCGTGACTGCACCCCACATGCAGGCATCTCACTCCCACCTTCTCCCATCAGTCCTGGATTTCTTCCCACCAAGAAAGGAGCACTTGTGAGACAAGAATGTTCCAGAATGCCCTGCTCCTGCCTCCCTCCAGCTGGGTGCTGGGTGGCTGGGGACACTGGCCACTCAGGCTCCAGCTACCAACATTAAAGAACTCAGCTCCAGGCAGGGGTGTGGCAGCCAGCTTCCACAGGGTCTCAGGGACCCTGGGCTGGAACTCTTGGCCAGGGCATGAGGCGCTGCAGCCGACTACCATCAGGGCACATGACTGCTTTGAACTAGCCATGTGCCGGGCCTGATCTCAAGCTCCAAGTGCGGGCTCACTCCGGATTCAGCATGAGGAGCAGGGACGCTGTGGCAGGGCGCAGACAGCCCCTGGGGTCCTGCGGCCTGCAGCAGGTCTCTTGGGCCTGGTCTGGCGCTGGCCCCTTCACAGGGCCATTCGCTGGTCCCTTCCTAGGGCCGCTCCGACGTGCGTTCTTGCACTTGTGGGAGGAGTGGTAGCATCGACCACTCCCATGCTCCGGGGACCCAGGAGACAATCTCCAACAGGAGCAGCAGAGGCAAATCCACCCAGTCCAGGAGGGAGGGGACGTGGGAGGGAGAGGCAAGGCTGGGATGTGGTTATCATCTTTCCCCCAGCCGTGCCCTCACCTCGGGCTTCCAACCAGGAGTCTGTCGGCCTTGGAGGGAAGCCCCAGCCTCCTCTTTAAAAATGAGAAGAGACGTGGATGGCAGATTAAGCCGTGGGTGAGGAGAGGGCTCAGAGGCACCCAGTGGCTCTCCCTGAGCTCCTCCAGTGATGCCTTGAGCCCGGGGACATCCTGGTCCCCAAACCGGGAAGCCAGGCTCTGAGCCGTCCCTTCACTCACCCAAGGCCCTCTGGTTAACCGTGGGGCTCACAGGACCCTCCCTTGCCCTGGACCTAGGGGTCATGTCGACATATGCCATGTGTGTCCGCTAGGACGGCGTCAAGGTGGACGACAGCTACTGTGACGCCCTGACCCGGCTGGAGCCCGTGCACAAGTTCTGCGCCGGGAGGGAGCGCCTGCCCAGGTACCCCTGCCTGGGAGGGAGTGCCAGCCTAGGTACTCCCACCTGGGAGGGAGCGCCTGCCCAGGTACCCCTGCCTGGGAGGGAGTGCCAGCCCAGGTACCCCCGCCAGGGAGGGAGTGCCAGCCCAGGTACCCCTGCCTGGGAGGGAGTGCCAGCCTAGGTACTCCCACCCGGGAGGGAGTGCCAGCCCAGGTACCTTTCCGGAGGGAGTGCCAGCCCAGGTACCTTTCCGGAGGGAGCGCCAGCCCAGGTACCCCCACCTGGGAGGGAGTGCCAGCCCAGGTACCCCCGCCTGGGAGGGAGCGCCAGCCCAGGTACTTGCCCAGGCAGCCATGGGGTGGCTGGGATGCCTGAGCCTCCGCTCAGGACAGCAGTCAGACCTGGCCCTCCGGGCTGGATGGTGGGGCCCCTGGAGGAGGGCATAGGGGTCTTGATAGATGCACTCCACCCTTCCCTACACCACGTCTGTCCCAATGACCTCTGCTGGGTGCAGCTGGGTTTTATAAACCCACAGGGATTCCGAGGCCCTTCCAGAAGCTCATGGGAAAATGAGATTAAAAGTTTCTTCGGGGCCGGCACCGCGGCTCACTTGGCTAATCTGCCTGCGGCGCCAGCACCCCAGGTTCTAGTCCCGGTTGGGGCACCGGTTCTGTCCCAGTTGCTCCTCTTCCAGTCCACCTCTCTGCTGTGGCCCGGGAGTGCAGTGGAGGATGGCTCAAGTTCTTGGACCTTGCACCTGCATGGGAGAACAGGAGGAAGCACCTGGCTTCAGATATGCGCAGCGCGCTGGCCATAGCAACCACTTGGGGGGGTGAACCAATGGAAGGAAGACCTTTCTCTCTGTCTCTCCCTCTCTCACTGTCTAACTCTGCCTGTCAAAAAAAAAAAAAAAGTTTTTTCGGGTGAAAAACATGGTGGAAGCCATGCCTAGGTTTTCACTGTGCACATTTTCCATGAACTTTTCAAAAGATTCTCGTATCCCTGGGAATGCAGGCTGCTGGCCAACTCACATGGGCAGAGGCTGGTCAGTGTTCCAGTCCCAGGCCTCCTGTCCTGCCTCACAGACACGGTCAGAGATGGAGCCCGAGGTGCATCGTGCCCTGGTGTGGACCAGCCCAGGAATTGGTGCAGGGGCCCCAGAGCCGCTGGGGGAGCCTCTGAGATGGGGAGCACTCACCCAGCTCCTGGCAGCCGGGGGGGGGTCTTACTGCTTTCCGGGAGGGGCAGGGAAGATGAGGGGCCCCTGGACCCCACTGGACACGGCTGCAAACATGTGGCTTTCATTTCTCTGTGCCAGGGTTCATGGAGAACAAGGCCCAGCCCAGGGTCCAGGGCAGCACAGCAGCACACAAGGGGGCTCAGGGCTCCAGGACACTGGAGCATGGTCCTGAGAGGGGGTGGCGGGTGGGGGATGGGTCAGTAGGGCCCCAAGATGCAAAGGTGAGAGCAGGAAGAGGCATCACAGGCCTTGGGGGGGCCACAGGCTCAGGAACCACCCTGTCCCCGGTTGTCATGGCGACGACCTCCAGTTCGGCCCCAGGCCTCCCTGTCAGGCCCAACCCCTGGGACCTGGGGCCACGTGTCTCTGGAGTGCAGGGTTGTCAGGGCTCCGGCCACAAGGTGTGGGGTCATTGAAGGCCGCCCCACCCCCGAAGCAGGTGGGAGAGTAGCAGCTGGAGCTACCAGTTCCCCATCCTGGGCTGCTGGAAGATGCCGTCCCCCGGCTTCGACAGCTCCGTGAACAGCGACCTGTGGGAGGCGGCCGAGGCCGTGCGGCCGGAGGAGCACAAGGTTTGCCGCAACCCAGCCTGTAGGCCACAGTGGGAGATGGTTGGAGGTGAATTGGTGGCAGCTGTGGCAGGGATCCAGTGGGACTGGGCGTGACCAAGAGGGGCCTGGGCGGGGGCAGGGGCCGGTCAGTCGGGACCTGAGTGAGGGGCCGTGTGGAACCTGGGTGTGGGTGGGGCCTGGGTGAGGGTGGGCCTGGGTGGGGCCAGGTGGGGATGGGGCCAGCTTGGGCTTGGGGTGGGACCAGGTGGGACCTGAGTGAGGGGGCGGGGCCTCCTGGAACCTGGGTGAGGGTGGGGCTGGGTGGGGCCAGGTGATGATGGGGCCAGTTGGAGCCTTTGGTGTGGGTGGGGGTGGGACTGTGGTGTGGGAGTGGGGGGCCGGGGTGGGTGGGGCCAGTGGGGCCTGATTGAGGGGGCGGGGCTGGGTAGAACCTGGGGGGCGGGTCCTGAGTGAGAGGTGAGGCCTGGCTGGGTGGAGTTTGGATCTTTGTGTTGCTGGGCAGGGTTGGGCAGTGGGAGATGTCCCAGGGTTCCAATGTGAGCTGGTGGGCCTCTGCAGAGTGCAGCTGGCCGTGGGCTGGCTGGGGCTTGGCAGGGCCATGGGTGGAGGGGCAAGGACTAGAGCCAGCCATGGAGCTCAGCCTCATACCCAGCCCCCCGCCCACCCCTCACAGTGCACAGCCAAGTACGGGGAGCACAGCGTGGTGACTAGGCACATCCACTGCTCTGAGGACGAGAGGCTGTGTGACCCCAACACCAGGCCGGTGGGCGAAAAGAGCTGCACAGGTCCCCCTGCGACCACCAGTGGACCACGTCTGACTGGGGGCTGGTGAGCGTGGCTGGCACGGGGCTGGCCTCTGCTGCCCCCGGCTTCTCCAGTTTCTGGAGCAAGGGTGTGAGGGAGGAGCCCCTGAGTGCCAGGTCTCCCTGTAGTTCCGAGGAATCAAAGCCCCCATCTGACCTGGCTGTCTCCGCCCGTCTCCGTCCGTCTCTCCTTGTCTCGATCTGTCTCTCTCTGTCCGTCTCGGCCTGTCTCCCCCCGTTTCCATCCATCTCCCCCACGTCTCGGTCTGTCTCTCCCTGTCTCTGCTCATCTCCCCCATCTCTCCTGTCTCTGTCCGCCTCCCCCCAGCTCCGTCTATCTCTCCCCATCTCCATCCACCTCTCCCCATGTCTCCGCCTCTCCCCATGTCTCGGTCTGTCTCTCCCCATCTCCGTCCATCTCTACCCGTCTCTACCCGTCTCTCCCTGTCCATCTCTACCCGTCTCTCCCTCCATCTCTGTCTGCCTCTCCCCATGTCTCAGTCTGTCTCTCCCTGTCCATCTCTGCCCTTCCACCTCCCCCCCGTCTCCATCTGCCTCTCCCCATGTCTTGGTGTGTCTCTCCCCATCTCTACCCATCTCTCCCTGTCTGTCTCTGTCCATCTCATCCCATCTCCATCTGCCTCTCCCTATGTCTCGGTCTGTCTCTGCCCGTCTCCCCATCTCCATCCGCCTCTCCCCATCTCTGTCTCTGCCCCTCTCGTCTGCTCAGATGCCAGCTGGGTCCCCTGTGCGCAGCCCCTATCTGTAGGTGTGTGTTTGTCATCAAGCAGGCATTATTTCCGTAATTAGAAAATGTGATTTAAAAAGTGGTTACTATGGCAATGGCTTCCCACACTGCCTGGGGTGCTTTCCCCTCCCTGGGGGCTGGGGGCTTGTGGAGCGCCCCCCCCAGGCCCCTGCCTTCTCCCTTTTGGAGTGCAGAGGGAGCTGAGGGCAGAGCCACACCATCAGGCATGTGTGCTGCAAGACCAGCGATGGCCGCGTAGTCCCTGAGTCCCAGCGCCAGGTGGAGACCAAGTCTCTGTCCATCCACCCCTGTGGGGACAAGAACTGGCCAGCCCACTGGCTGGCCCAGGACTGGGGCTGGTGAGTGTCCCGGAGATGCGGGTGCCTGGCCAGAGGGCATCGGAGAACAGCAGGTTGGCCAGGAGCTGGCTGCAACTTTGAAGGCGGAGTTCGCTGAGATGGATTTGACACACACAGAGCCAAACAGGCGGGGGAACCCCTTGCGACCTCTCAGCTCCAAGTGGGCACAGGCTCCACCACGATGGTGCATGCAGAACTGGCAGCGTCCCCACACCAGGCACCTAGGCGCCCGAGTGATGGGGCACGGGGCAGGTGCTGTCCGGCTGCAACTGCTTCTGGCCTGCGGGCCGGGCAGCCTGCTGTCCATGCTTGTCAACCCCCACCCCATGCCAGACCCATTGCTTCCAATGTGCCTTTAAGCAGACCACTATTAACCAAATCATCTTGGGACAAAGTGTTGTCTGCTAAATCGATTCTGGCCACAGCACCCCCAGCCAAATGGTCATTAACCAATTTGTTTCAAACAGATGATTTCGGGTTCCACTTCTTTTGATCAAACTCATTTGGGGACAAACGGTTGTGGAACAAAGAGTTCTCAGCCGATGCGCCATTGGTCCCAGCGTCCCCCCCGCCCCGTATCTACTGACCAGCTGTTGTCACAGGGTTCCCCCCACCCCGGGCAGGGGCAGCCGTCCCAGCCCTCTCAGCCCCTGGCCTCTGATCTGACCTGTCCCCCGCCTCAGTGCAACACCACCTGTGGCGAGATGTGAAGAAGCGACTGGTCCTGTGCATAGAGCTGACCAATGGGAAGTTGTAGATGCACAGTGGGCCTGAGTGTGGGCTAACCAAGAAGCTGCCGGAGGAGAGCACCTGTTTTGAGAGGCCTTGCTTCAAGTGGTACTCCAGCCCTTGGTTGGAGGTGAGCGGCCAGCCCCGGGGCTCCCGCCCTGCCGCTCGTCCCCACCCCAGCCTCTGTCCCCAGGAAGCTGCTCACCTGTGCCACATCAGGTTGCACGAGAGCCATGCCTTCCAAAAGCCTGATAGCATCCTGTTGTCTCTGCAGCTCTCTCACTGGGCCTATGGGTCTGCTCGCGTCCAGCTTGGCTTGACCTGGTTGATATATACATATATATATTTATTTGAAAGGCAGAGTTACAGAGAGAGGAGGAGGGAAGAGAGACAGAGACAGAGGGAGGCCTTCCATCTTCTGGTTCACTCCCCAAATGGCCACAATGGCAGGGCCTGTGCCATGCTGAAGGCAGGAGCCCAGAGCTTCTTCTGGGTCTCCCACATGGGTGCAGGGGTCCAAGCAGTTGGTCTGTCTTCTGCTGGTTTCCCAAGCACATCAGCAGGGAGTCGTATCTGAAGTAGAGCAGCTGGGACTCGAACTGGTCCCATGTGGGATGCCAGTGCTGCAGGCAGAGGCTTAACTTGCTACGCCATAGCGCCGGCCCCTAGCACTGACCTTGAAGCTATCAGTGGCAGCCTGGGGTGCTGACGGAGCCCATGGGGGCAGCCCTCATCCCGGGTGAGCCACAGCCAAGGCAGGGTTGTGGGATTTGGAGACCACATAATAGCAGAGCCTGGGCCAGGACCCTGTGGGCCCCAGAGAGGGTGGTGACCCCCCCACTTCAGTCCTGGTCCCCAGGCCGCCCAGCCTGAGGACGTCAGGTGAGACAGGACTGGGGTCTCACCTCTCTGCAGATGGGAGCTGAGCCCTCACCCCGGGCCCAGCAGTGCCCGAAGGAGAGGGGTCTCCCCACTCCTCAGAGAGGAACCCTGAGGCCCCTCCCACATCTGCCTGTCCCCCAAGTGAAAGGGCAGAGTAGGGGGTGAGGAGGAGCCTCGCGAACTGGCCACTGGGGGAGGGGCAGAGGGAGGGAGGGCGGCCCCTGCCTGTGCCAGTCCCCTCTGGACTCTCCCTGGCCCTCCCTGGCCGGCCATGCCGGAGCTCTCAGGAGGGGCCAGCGGGGAGGCCCAGAGCGGCCTCTGTGAGCCGCCGGCCCAGGGCAGGAGCACAGGGGATAAAGTGACGTGTCACAGGGTACTGGGTGCCCAGGAACCTTCACAGGATGCCGCAGAGCCCCCTACCCTTGGCTGTAGCTGTGACAGGCAAGTGCCAAGCCTTCCAGTTTCAGGGCCCGAGCTGCGGAGTCTGTGTTACAGGGATCTGATGGGTGCAGCAACCCCCAGGCCAGGGTCCTACCCCGGACCCTCCTCACCCCTCCCACACTGCACCTGCTCATCTGGGACTGGGACACACATGCACTCACTCGTTCCATGGCAGGAGGGAGGCTGGGAGCTGTGCTGGGGCTTGTGGAGAACCCCAGGGGAGCTGGGGCCTGGAGGGGGAGCAGGCAGGCCTACCTGGGGGACTGGCTGGAGAGGCCAAGGCCACCTCTGGGAACGGCCAGGCCGGCTGGGCGGGGAGGCCTGACCACTGCTCCAGGCCCCCTTGGTGGGAGTGACCCTAGTCTGTTCTCCCTAATTGTCTGCAAGAGCAGTGTCCCTGGGGTGTGAGCAGCTCGTGGGGTTTTGCAGGGAGAGCACCCGGTGAGGAGCCAGGGCTGGGGTGATGGCTTCAAAAGGTGCCTCACAGACCCTGCACAGCTGGGATCATGGAGGTCCTGAGGTGGCCACCCCTCATGGTGCAGCTGGGGAAACTGAGGCAGCTCTGGGCGGCCCCCCAGTGCTGTCCCCACCCCTGCTCAGTGGCAAGCCTGGCCAGGTGGGCGGGGCCCGTGCAGGAAGCTGAGGGTCACCTTTGTCCTGTCGCTGCCCCATGAGTGCACCATGGCCTGTGGGGTGGGCATGAGGATGCAAGATGTGAAGTGCTATAAGGGCACCGACATCGTGCGTGGCTGTGACCCACTAGTGAAGCCAGTGGGTAGGCAGGCCTGTGACCTGCAGCCCTGCCCCACAGAGCCCCCAGGTGAGCAGGGGCAGGCTGTGGGCCGGGCAGGGACTTGTGGAGGAGGTGCGGGAGCCGGGGCATGGAGGGTGAGCAAGTGCCCTGTTGGATGCAGAGCCCGGGGAGGGGGAGGGGAAGGCCCACTGGGGCTGGAGGCTGAGGGAGAAGAGGGTCAGCCACAGGTGGGCAGGGAGTGTGGGGCCGAGGGACCAGGATGGGGGCCTGACTTGGGCACCTGGAATATGCTGCAGGTGTGGGTGATGGATTCTACTCTGGGCATAGTGCGGGGGGCTGTGCACCTGTGGGCTCCCAGAATGCACTGCTACCACAAGTCCTGGCCCCTGGCCTTGCCCCTTCCGCCCCTCTTGGTGTTGTCCATGGGGAGACAGCAGAGAACTGGAGCCTGACACCCGCTGGGATCCCTGTGATGGGCACATGGCCCTGCCCAAGGTGCTCTGTGCCAGAGCTGCCCCGTGGCAGGACGGTGCCAAGGTGCTGGGGCGGCCAGCAGGGCTCTCACCTCTGGCCTCCTGCTGACCCCCGACCTCCGCCCTTTCCCCAGATGACAGCTGCCAGGACCAGCCAGGCACCAACTGCACCCTGGCCATCAAGGTGAACCTGTGCAGCCACTGGTACTACAGCAAGGCGTGCTGCCACTCCTGCAGGCTGCCCTGCCCTTAGGCTACCACTGCAGCCATGGAGACCCAAGTGCCCACCCAGGGCCCCGCCCCAGACACCCCACGGGCGCCTGAGTGGGGGGGCGGGGTGCAGCACTGGGCCACCCCCTCTGCTCTCCCAGGCTGGGGAGCTCCAAATCGTAAGGATCCTGTTTGGGGCTGAGCCCCCACCCAAGGGGCCCCAGGACCCAGAGCCCAGCGGTGAAGGTGAGACATGCCCAGGGTCCAGGCCGTCTCTGGGTAGGACCTCCTCCAGATAACTGGCAGGTGACTCTGACCAGGCTCTGTGGGGGAGGTGGCGGTGGTGGCCCCGATGTCACTGGGTCCCTGCCGGCATCTAGGTGCCCATCAGTTGGAGGGTTTGCCTCATGGCCCGGCCCAGCCCAGCACCTGCCGAACTTTAAGCCCCGGGGAGCCCTCTTTCGGTGTGTGTGGTTCTCAGCAGTGGGTTTGTCCTGTAACCACAGTCAGTACTCATCTGTGTATGTCAATAAAATGGTCGTATATATGGCGGCCTGGTGGGGTCTCTGCTGCGTCTGGTAGGAGGTGCAGGAGACCCCATGGGCTTGGGAGAGCCAGGGTGTGGCCGTGTGGGGTCTCTCAATCCCTAAGGCCTGGGGTTTGGGGCCGGCCAAGTGCAGACGGAGACCAAAGGCCACAGACAGAGTGGGCAGTGGGGCCTCAGGAGCCCGGCGCCGGGGTCAGAGTGGGCTGGAACCTCCACTGGTGTGGGGCTGCAGGGGAGGACCTGTACTAAGGCCTGGAGTGTCCCCTGCAGCAGGCTGGGGGACCAGGGATGAGGCAGGTGTGCGGAGCCTCAGGACTGGTGTTTCTGGAGCTCTGCGGAGGGCCCCTGGTCTGGACTCGTGGGTGCCGAGCCGGACGAGAGCCCTCCTTTGGGCTGACCCAGCGGCAGACGTGGGGAGAGGCAAGAGCAGAGCAGCCAGTGGAGGGTGCTGGGAGGGGAGGGGCCTGGGGCTCTGCCACCCAAGGGACGGCCAGCTTGCCTCAGCGCTGAGGATGGCCAGGAGAACTGTTTCCTTTGGGCATAGGTGCCAGAGAGGCCAGTGGCTGCCTCCTGCATGGGGGCCCAGCCTGTCCCCAAATTGGGACTCAGAGCAGGGTCCACCCCAGGGAAGCTGAGGCAGCAACCAGCCTGGGGTGCTTTTGCCTGTGTGTGCGGTGCTTTTGCCTGTGTGTGCCCATGGCTGCACATGTATGCATCAAGGGGCTGCACGTTTTTAAAAAATGTATTTATTGGAGAGGCAGAGAGAGACAGAGAGAGGCAGAGAGAGAGAGAGAGAAGGCGCCCACAAGAGAGTTGCCATCTGCTGATTACTCCCCAAACGCTGGCAACGGCCCAGGGCTGAACCAGGTGCCAAAGCTGGGAGCAAGAATTCAACCCCGGTCTCCCACATGGGTGGAAGGAGCCCCATTCCTCGAGCCATCCCTGCTGGAGTCTGGAGCCATCCTGGCGAACAGAACCCAGGTCCCAGCCGTGGGCTACAGGCTTCTGAACGGCGACTTCAACGGCTGCGACTTCACCACCACGCTGTGGCTGCCGCAGAGGGTTCTTTCCCAGCCCCCACTTGCTCAAGGGCTCCGGCTCCGCTCAGGGAGGGCTGAGTGGCTGTAGCCCCTGCCCGTGCCATGTTCCACGGTCCCTGCTCTGCTCCGCCATCCTCTTCCTGCCCGAGCCACCTCCTTTTTGCCAGCGCTGAGTGTGTGTGCTCACTGCACACAAGGCCTTGTGCCCCATCAGGGCTTCCCGGAGCCCCCTGAGGCAGTGGCTCTGTTACCAGCCCAGACGGGTTCAGCTGGGGTTCCCAGGGGAGATGAGCACAGCCTCCATCCCCCCAGGGTTGACAAAGGCGGTTTTGGAGACCCCTCACCAGAGAGCCACTTTGGGTTCCTCCAGGCAGGGCCTGGGCTGCACGGGCATGGCACAATGCAGAGAGGGTTTGCACTGGCCACAGCAGCCAGACCGAAGCCATGAAGGGTGGTAGGAGATGATCCATTGGCTCTGCCAGGCTGGTGGGTGGGTCCCAGGACGGCGCTGCAGGGACCGGGCCAGGGCAGGGGGTGCTCACTGCATTCCAGAGCTCTAAGTATCTACGTGCGGAGGCTGGTGACCAAAATGGGAGCAGCTGCCTCAGGGCCCTCATCCCCCGCCCCCACCCCAGACTCCTCCCCAGGTGAATGCATCAGGGACAGACTCGATGGGGGCGGGGCCAGGAGCAGGGAGTCAAGGGTGCATCCAAACAGGGGCCAGGGGAGGAGGGGGGTACCAAGGAGTCCCTGAACAGCCAGTGTCCCCCGACTGCAGGAGGCTCTGGGAGCTCGCGGTGGGAGATGAGCCTCACTCGCGGATGGCCACAGCCCTTGTCAGAGGGAGGGGCTCCTGGGCCTCCCTCAGCTGGGGGTGGGGGCTGGTGCCCTGAGGGAGCCAGTGGTGTCATTTCTGCCGCTGATGGAAGGGAGCAGGGAGCCCCCAGCCTGAATCGGGGCTGGATGGAGTGCCGGCTTGGAGGGCGGCTCCACACAGGAGCCTCCACCCTGACACTGCTGGGGATGGGACAAGACAGCGCGCCTTGCAGCCATCTCCCTCAGGACCTGGAATCCCACAGAGACCCAGCGCCCCTCAGCACTCAGGACTCTGACTGCATCCCGGGAGCCCCTGCCTCTTGGTGGGCACGGGCGGAGGGCTCTCCCGAGCCCTGGCCCAGCTCTGCCCACCCTGCCACACCTCATGCTGCCCTCTGGGTTTCAGCTCGCAGGCTGTGTGGAAAGCTGAGGGCCAGGCTGGGGTCGGGGCCGGCACCCCCAGAGCAGCAGCCCCCCAACCCTGCCTGGGCCTCCCTTGACCAGAATGCGGGTTGGAGTGAACTCTCAAGGAGTAGGCTGCCCGGGAAGCCCCCTTGCAGGAGGGAAGCAGGCAGGTGCTGGGCACGTGTGTGTGCATGCGTGGGCATGTTCATGCGTGTGTGTGTGCACGTGAGAGTGAGAGGGGGCCCCTACGGACAGCAGCTGGTCGTCAGTGGAAGGGAAGGCTGAGGCCGCCCCTTCCTGGAACACGTGAGGTCCAGGGGCTCTGCGGGCCTGGGGTGCCCCCAGGACAGGGGGGCCGGGGTGGCGCGCCATGGCGGGGGGCACGGTCACACGTCGGTGCTGACGCTGCGGCTGCGGGCGAAGGCCTCCCGCATGGCCCAGAGATGGCTGGGGTTGAACGCCTGCAGTCCCCCGAAGCCCCCGCTGGGGGACAGCTACAGGTCCTCCTGGCTGAAGCTGGCGGAGGCCACGCGCTCGCCACCGTTGCACAGGTCCTTGTCCTCCGACTCCTGCAGGAAGAACGTGGGCGGCTCTTAGTGGGAGCAGCTGCGGCACAGGGCCTGGGCCTGCGGAGACCTCTGGCTGAAGGAGGTGGAGGTGGCCGGGTAGAGCCCAGGCCCATTGGTCAGCACCATGTTGTGGTTGGAGTGCAGCGGGAGCAGGTACGCGTGCATGGCGAAGTCCGGCTCCTCCTCATCCTCCTCGGAGCCTTCCTTCTTACAGCAGTAGTACTGTGGGCAGAGCGGGTGACCAGCTGGCCCTCCCCGGCCCTCCCAGCTCCCCCGCGCGGGAGAGGAGCCGGCCCGGAGCACGGCATCAGGGCCGTGGGCGGGGGTGCGCCTGATCAGATGCCTGTATCTGCGCACTTGAGTGTTCTGGGATCCAGCTCAGGCTGGGCTAAGCACTAGGCACCTCTCAGAGCCACTCCTTGGATCAGCACAGACACCCCCAGGCTGAGCCGTTTTTCAGGTGGGGAAACTGAGGCACGGAGGGGCGCTGCACAGTGGGGGCTCAAGCTGCCCTGCACCAGTGGCTCCCACTCCTCTCTCGGGCAGACATGGGGGGGCTTGGGTGGGGAAGGAGCCGCAGAGCTGGTCCGAGCACCCAGCATCGCTCTCTCACTGGCCAGGAGGCCTGGAGCGCCCTCTTCTGGAGTCCGGCCCTCCTGGCCTTCTGCAGGGGCTACCTCCCGGGGCAGGGGCAGGGCCGGCGGCAAGCCTCCCCTCCGCCCACCCCCCGGGGGTACCTGGAGCCGACAGTAGCACAGGACAGGGATAAAGCAGAGCAGGATCACCGTCGCAAAGATGCCCCCGGTGATGCTGATTCAGCAGCCTGAAACACACGTCATGTGTCACAGGCATCTGGGTGTACCCCATAGCCCCCCGCTCTGCAACACACATCATGTGTCACAGGCGTCCAGGTGCACCCCACAGTCCCCCACCCTGCAACACACGTCACATGTCACGGGCATCTGGGTGCATCTCAGAGTCCCTGCCCTGCTACACACATCCCTGTACCTGCGTGGGAGACCCGGAAGAAGCTCCTGGCTCCTGGCTTCAGATCAATGCAGCTCCAGCCGTTGCAGCCATTTGGAGAGTGAACCAGCTTATGGAAGACCTCTCTGTCTCTCTGTCTCTGTCTCTCTCTCTCTAACTCTTCCTCTCAAATAAATAAATCTGTAAAAATAGTTTTATTAACAATTTTGTGAGAGGTAGAGACAAAGAGAGCTCCTATGTATTGTTTGCCTTCCCAGCTGCCAATGGCAGTGGGGGCTCGGCCGGGCCCAAGTCAGAAGCGGGGAACTCAATCTCCCAAGGTCTGCGCCAACCAGAGGCGTGCGTCGGACCCTGGCCCCTGCAGTGGGATGAGGCCAAATGCCTGCCCGTTATCTATGCCTTGAAAAGCATGTCTCTGGCTAAGTAACAGGAGCTGCCCGATTTCAGAAACCACTCTGACAACCTCCCTGGGCTACCCTCTCAGGAGTGCGATTCTCGGCCCGGCCCACGTTCCTTGTGAGCTTGTCATTGTGGCAGGTGCTCTCCACGGGTCCCCTGGCTCAACCCGCCCCTAGCGGGACAGGTGACAGCAGCACCAACATGCCCTGACTTGTGGCATTGGCAGGTGCTCAGCCCAGCCTGTGTTGGCTGCAACAAGGGTTAGCAAGAGCTACACAATTCCCTCGATTACCCGAGCTGGGGTGGAGGAAGTGACCGGAGCCCTGTGCAGGGAATCCCTGTGCCCAGAGGTCACTCATAAACCCCTCAGGGCGGCGTCCGGCAGCTGAGGATGTGGCCAGACTGCGAGCCTGGGTCTGTCTGGCACCCTCCTGACACCCCCAGCATCCATGGTCGGTTGGTTCACCCAGGATCTGGCTACAGCAAGTGCCTTCGGCTCAGGTCCCATTCCTTTTCCTCCTCCCTTCCTGGCTTACAGAAGCCTCAAGATCATTGATCTTTTTTTTTAATATTTATTTATTTATTTGAATGTGAGAGTTACACAGAGAGGGGAGGGAGGGAGGGAGGGGGAGAGAGAGAGAGAGAGAGGTCTTCCATCTGCTGGTTCTCTCCCCAATTGGCAGCAAAGGCTAGAGCTGGGCCAACCCAAAGCCAGGAGCCAGGAGCTTCTTCCAGGTCTCCCACGTGGGTGCAGGGACCCAAGGACTTGGGCCATCTTCTACTGCTTTCCCAGGCCATAGCAGAGAGCTGGATCGACGGTGCAACAGCGAGGACTTGAACTGGCACCCATATGGGATGCCGGCACTCCCTCCTAACTTGGGCCGGGACGGCAGTGCCGACACTAAGGGCACGATCACCCACTGAGTGTCCACCATGTGCCACCTCCATACTACGCGGTCTGGACGTGGTCAGGCATTGGGATAGGGATAAGCAGAGACAGAGCCGGGGCTGTGGGGGGCATGGGCTGTGTCTGGGGGCGGCACAGGGTCAGGGACGCTTCCCTGCAGGGCTGTGCTTCCGGCAGGGAGGGGGCATCTGGGGGGACCCCGGGCAAGACTTCAGAGCGGACCAGCAACAGGAAGCCCCGCCATCTCCCTCCTCCGCCGTTTCGGTGACCTGTGCTGGACCGCGATGTGAAACCCAGTCCAGCCCGGCGAGGGGAGGGGTGGGAGGCACAGCGCCGCAGTTCAGCACTTGGTCTCACGGCGGGTTCCTGTCGCTCGCTTCCTGTGGAACTTCATCACGGGCTCCCCACCTCCCCGGGAAGCCAGCGTGTGGGGGTGCTGGGGGGAGGGGCAGAGGCGAGCAGAGAGCTGCGTGGGTGGGTGGGGTCTGCTCACTACAGGGCTCTTGGCTCCATCGCGCATGACCGTACGTTGCAGCCCCACCACGCCAGCTCCCCAGGACCTGAGGCCAGCTTCCACCTGCCAAGGGTCTGGGCTTTTTGGTGGCTGAGGGTGAGACTTCGCCACCGCCAGCCTCGACAAGGGGGACGAGCCACGCCAAGAACCCAGGATGCGAGGGGTTGGCCCCTGGCCACATGCACTGGCCTGGAAGAACCGTTTGGACTGAGCCGTGGTGTCCCAAGCCTGTGGCCGCCTGGTGGTAGCCCCTTCCCTGCTTCTCTAGGTTTGCACATTATTATTACAAAACTAGAGTGAAGTTACAGAAAATATTTTGCCAAAGGGAAAGTTAAAAATGCTAACTTTCCTTCAATTAAACTTCTGAAGTATCATTGAGGGTCAGTATTTGATAAAGTGCTCAATAATAATTGATTCTGTGTGTGCATTTGTGTTGTCATGAAAGCTAGTTAATTGTCTCAAAGTGTAATCAAAGGCGGACTTCAGCATGAAAAAATAAAAAATAAGAAAAACAAGACATAGATATTTGCAGGGTTGTAATTTAATAAATCACCAATAATTATTCAACAAATTTCTTTCTTTCTTTCTTTCTTTCTTTCTTTCTTTCTTTTTTTTTTTTTTTGACTGGTAGAGTTATAGGCAATGAGAGAGATAGAGAAAGATCTTCCTTCTGTTGGTTCACTCCCCAAATGGCCACTGCGGACGGCACCATGCCAATTCGAAGGCAGGAGCCAGGTGCTTCCTCCTGGTCTCCCCTGTGGGTGCAGGCGCCCAAGCACTTGGGCCATCCTCCACTGCCCTCCTGAGCCACAGCAGAGAGCTGGACTGGAAGAGGAGCAACTAGGACTAGAACTCAGTGCCTATATGGGATGCCAGCACTGAAAGCGAAGGATTAACCAAGTGAGCCACGGCACCAGCCCCAATGAATTTCTTCTAATACTTAAAAATACCAAGTGAGAAATTCCAAAGAGAAAATTTAACAAATCTGATTTTTAAGTAATTAACCTAAAAATTCTGCTTCATTTAAAGTAAGTGAACAGGATACTTTTCTGTAAATATGGAATACTGCTTTAATTTCACTCCTCTCTTATGTTGCTTAAAATTAGACAGGAATGTGGCTGTAGACTTCCTGTTATTTATATACCCTGTGAAGCCAGAGGAGTCAGAGTGTGTTTGGTCAGAGGAATGAAAGGCAATGGATCCCAAATTTCAGCGTGTGGCGTTAAGTGATGGTCACTTCATTCCTATGCTGGAATTTGGCACCTATGCACCTGTAAAGGTAACTCTAGTCACTTTCTCTTGAGGGGACAAAATAAAATAGACTTAGAAAGGGTGAAAGGGAGACCTGGGTTGTGAAGGAACCCGGTTCCTATGTTACTCCAAAGGTTTCATTTGGTTTTCCAATTCATTGGGCTGGAACTGTTCCACACAGAAGATTGAATTAATCTCATTTTGTTCTTCATGACAGTCAGATCCTGTGATCCTCTGCTAGTGATTCTGAATACTGATTTTGCTTCCAGTTTCAGTATGTTTCTCACTTGAGTGGAAGAAACCACTGTTGGCACTGAAGAAGACTGCAAGTCAGTTTGCTTGCAGTTGGACTGGTTTCTCCACTTTAAGCTATAATCCAAGAAATATTTACTCCTTCCAACAAAGGCTAACCCAGAAAATTTTTTTTTATAAAGTTAGTAGAGAGGAAGTGCAGAACATCTGAGGAGGGAATAACCTAGTATGAGATGGGGATAACCTTGAGATCCACACAGTCATTAATGGACGTGGGATAAGTAAGTTTTCCCATGGACTAGGAAACTTGTCTGAAGGCAAGTACAACATCATGTTAGAAGAAAACTGGAGGGCGGAGCCAAGATGGCGGAATAGTGAGGGCGCCCACCAATAGTCTGGGAAAAGATAGTTTAATAAAAGTGGAGTTACTGTAGCCTCAGGAAAAAATTGCAGAGGAAACTCTTCTGGATCTAGTGGATGTGACACGGAGGACCTATGGGGAGAGCAAGGTCGCCCACTGTGTGGAAGCCGAGCCGTGGGAGCCAAGCTGCAGAGTCTGCGTTCCAGTACTGGAAGGGGAGGTGAGACAAAAACCTCGGTAACCCAAGACATTGGTGGGGAAAGGCAGAAAGAGCCTAAGGGAATGAGGCCTGAAGCCCCACTGGGGAAAGTTCACCAGGTTGACTGGAGGAGAGAAAAAAACGAATAAATAAGGGGAACCAGCACAGACACTAGCCTCTCTTTCCACTCACCTTGCAAAGCCAAGCAAGACAAAGAGCAGGCGCCATTTTATATATGTAAAGTGGCGCCCACCATTATCCAAGCAGAAAAACCTGACTCTGGTGGGGAGAAATAACAGGAAGTTAAGACCTAGTGAAGGTGTGGAGCTAACGAACTGAGACTGTGAAAATCTGAGGGGGCGTCGAGAGAACTCACCGAGTACACAAACTGGGTAACCTGGGCAACCTGGTGAGAGACTGTGGAGAAATTTGAGACCACACTGAGGGCTGCATAAACTCTTTGTGTGGTCCCGGGGTAAGCAGATGAATACCCACAGGGGCCAGATTTCATACATCAACTACACTCAATTCCACTCAGCTGTGTGGAATTACTTCCCAACTGAGTCAAAAAGAGAGAGAGAGAGAGAGAACAATCTGGGTGAGTCACCTTTGGCACACCCTTAACCCTGAAGAACCAAACAGAGCTCTCTGGCCACACCCATCACAGCCTCTAAGGATCCATCAAAAGCAGACAGTCCACTTAATCTATAGTCATAGTAAAATGAGAAAAAACACCACAGCGAAGAAACCAAAGAATATCTTCAATGTGCCAAACAACAAAGGCAGAAACTGAGGTAAAAAGAACAAGGAAGACACTATGATGCCCCCAAATGAAAAAGACACCCCAATTCAAGATTATAAGAAGATGATGAGATAGAAGAAATGCAAGAAGCAGATCTCAAAAAATTGATAAGAACATTAAGAAGTTCTCAAAAACAAATTCTTGAACTACAGAAATCCTTAATGGACAAGATAGAAAATCTCTCGTGTGAAAATGAAATATTAAGGAGGAATCAAAATGAAATGAAACAACTAGTAGAACATGAAACTGTGATAGTGATGAGAAATCATAATGAAATGAAGAATTCAATAGATCAAATGACAAACACAATAGAGAGCCTTAAAAACAGAATGGGTGAAGCAGAAGAGAGAATATCGGACTTAGCAGACAGAGCACAGCAAAATATACAGTCAAACCAAAGAAAAGAAGAGGAAATTAGAAATCTAAAAAATATTGTCAGGAATCTATAGGATACTATTAAAAAACCCAACATTCGGGTTCTAGGAGTTCCTGAAGGCATGGAGAGGGAGAAAGGATTAGAAGGCCTTTTTAGTGAGATATTAGCAGAAAATTTCCCAGGTTTGGAGAAGGACAGAGACATCCTAGTACAGGAAGCTCACAGAACCCCTAATAAACACGACCAAAAGAGATCCTCACCATGACACATTCTAATTAAACTCACCGCAGTGAAACATAAAGAAAAGATCCTAAAATGTGCAAGAGAGAAACGTCAGATTACTCTCAGAGGATCTCCAATCAGACTCACATCTGACTTCTCATCAGAAACCCTACAAGCTAGGAGGGAATGGCGAGATATAGCCCAGGTACTAAGAGAGAACAACTGCCAGCCCAGAATATTATATCCTGCAAAGCTATCATTTGTGAATGAAGGTGAAATAAAGACTTTTCATAGCAAACAGAAATTGAAAGACTGTGGCGCCACTCGTCCAGCCCTGCAAAAGATGCTTAAAGATGTGTTACACACAGAAACACAGAAACACGGTCATCAATATGAAAGAAGGTAAAGGAAGGAAACCTCACAGCAAAAGATCACAGGGAATTCAAAGCATATATTAGAACTTATCTTTGGCAAATGGCAGGGCAAAGTTACCACTTTTCATTAGTCACATTGAACATTAATGGCCCGAACTGTCCAGTTAAAAGACACCGATTGGCTGATTGGGTTAAGGAACAAAACCCATCTATTTGTTGCTTACAAGAAACACATCTTTCCAACAAAGATGCATACAGACTGAAAGTGAAAGGCTGGAAAAAGATATACCATGCCAACAGAAATGAAAAAAGAGCGGGCGTAGCCATCTTAATATCGGACAACATAAACTTTACCACAAAAACTGTTAAGAGAGACAAAGAGGGACACTATATAATGATTAAGGGATCAATTCAACAAGAAGATATAACAATTATCAATGTATATGCACCTAATTACAGGGCACTGGTTTATTTAAAAGATTTGTTAAGGGACTTAAAGGGAGACTTAGACCCCAATACAATAATACTGGGGGACTTCAATACTCTACTCTCAGAAATAGACAGATCAATAGGACAGAAGATCAACAAGGATACAGTAGATTTAAACGACACTATAGCCCAAATGGATCTAACAGATATCTATAGAACTTTCAATCCTACAACGAAAGATTTACATTCTTCTCAGCAGTACATGGAACCTTCTCTAGGATTGACCACATACTAGGCCATAAAGCAAGTCTCAGCAAATTCAAAAGAATTAGAATCATACCATGCAGCTTCTCAGACCATAAAGGAATGAAGTTGGAAATTAGCAACTCAGGAATCCCTAGAGCATATGCAAACACATGGAGATTGAACAACATGCTCCTGAATGAACAATGGGTCATAGAAGAAATTAAAAGAGAAATCAAAAATTTTCTGGAAGTAAATGAGGATAACAGCACAACATACCAAAACTTATGGGACGCAGCAAAAGCAGTGTTAAGAGGAAAGTTTATATCAATAGGTGCCTACATCAAGAAATTGGAAAGGGTTCAAATAGATGAGCTTTCAATTCATCTCAAGGATCTAGAAAATCTGCAGCAAACCAGACCCAAATCTAGTAGGAGAAGAGAAATAATTAAAATCAGAGAAGAAATCAACAGGATTTAATCAAAAAAAAATTACAAAAAATCAGCCAAACAAGGAGCTGGTTTTTTTGAAAAATAAACAAAATTGACACCCCATTGGCCCAACTAACTAAAAAAAGAAGAGAAAAGACCCAAATCAATAAAATCAGAGATTAAAAAGGAAACGTAACAACAGACACCACAGAAATAAAAAGAATCATCAGAAATTACTACAAGGACTTGTATGCCACCAAACAGGGAAATCTATAAGAAATGGATAGATTCCTGGACACATGAAATCTAGCTAAATTGAACCAGGAAGACATAGAAAACCTAAACAGACCCATAACTGAGACAGAAATTGAAACAGTAATAAAGGCCCTCCCAAAAAAGAAAAGCCCAGGACCAGATGGATTCTAGTAGAATTCTGCTGAATTCTACTAGACATTTAAAGAACTAACTCCAATTCTTCTCAAACTATTCAGAACAATCAAAAAAGAGGGAATGCTCCCAAATTTTATGAAGCCAGCATCACCTTAATTCCTAAGCCAGAAAAAGATGCAGCATTGAAAGAGAATTACAGACCAATATCCCTGATGAACATAGACGCAAAAATCCTCAATAAAATTCTGGCCAATAGAATGCAACAACATATCAGAAAGATCATCCACCCAGACCAAGTGGGATTTATCCCTGGTATGCAGGGATGGTTTAATGTGCGCAAGACAATCAATGTCATACACCACATTAACAGACTGCAGAAGAAAAACCATATGATTATCTCAATAGACGCCGAGAAAGCATTTGATAAAATACAACACCCTTTCATGATGAAAACTCTAAGCAAACTGGTTATGGAAGGAACATTCCTCAATACAATCAAAGCAATTTATGAAAAACCCACGACCAGCATCCTATTGAATGGGGAAAGGTTGGAAGCATTTCCACTGAGATCTGGCACAAGACAGGGATGCCCACTCTCACCACTGCTATTCAATATAGTTCTGGAAGTTTTAGCCAGAGCCATCAGACAAGAAAAAGAAATTAAAGGAATACAAATTGAGAAACAAGAACTCAAACTATCCCTCTTTGCAGATGATATGATTCTTTACTTAGAGGAGTCAAGAACTCTACTAAGAGACTATTGGAACTCATAGAAGAGTTTGGCAAAGTAGCAGGGTATAAAATCAATGCACAAAAATCAGCAGCCTTTGTATACACAGGCAATGCCACAGCTGAGGAAGAGCTTCTAAGATCAATCCCATTCACAATAGCTACAAAAACAATCAAATACCTTGGAATAAACTTAACCAAGGACGTTAAAGATCTCTAC